ACACCACTTCTACGCATGTGCAGAAGCATCCAGGCGGGTGGGCGGAGCCTCCCACCGCCACCGCTACCAGTTCGCCCAATCTGGGGCGAACCGGTAGCAACCCACCACTGAATATGATGGACAAATACTTGGATCCATTCAGAGTTGGATTCTGCCTGGGTGGTGGACTTGACCAATTATCTGGGAAGAGTTTTCCAATGAGTCTCCAGGAAGCAGATAGGGGTCTTCTGTAAGTCCTTCTGTATCCTTGTGCTTCTAGTTTGCTCAGGATGGCTTGCTCTTGGGTTCATTCGTGAATGAGAGAGCAGTCCTGGGCAGGGGGTTGGACTAGAAGACCTCCAAGGTCCCTTCCAATTTTGTTATTCTGTTATTGGTGTATATTGTATATTGTTTCCCTGAAGTGAGAGGTTTGTGTTTTTCATAAACATACAATATGCATATTGTTGTTTCCGCTTATATCTATTTTAATGTTTAAAATCTTTATATCTTTTAAATTGGGTTTTAAACCTCTTTAGATAAATTTGGATGTTTTTTAATCTTTGAGCCTAAATTACTTAATCTGTTTCTTAATAGTTTTTAACTTCTATATGTATTTGTATTTATTATGGCTGTTCACCGCCCTGAGTCCTTCGGGAGTAGGGCGGTATACAAATATGAAAAATAAATAAATAAATAAATATGCTGTCTAAATTTGAGGATTGATGTGGCCAATAAATTGATTAAAATTCTGAGAGAACATTGCACATGGAACATGATACTATTTTTTTTTTTTTACAGATTTAAAAAAAAATTATGATAAAAATAACCGGACAGAGCAAAATGCAGCCCTTCTAATGAAAAGAATAAAACTGATCAGATTTATAGTAATCCAATATTAGGTCTTCTTTTATCAGACTGATAAAATGAAATGTAAATGAGGGATGACATGGTGCATAAAGCTGGAACATTTCCATTAAATCACTGAGGGGATTCATCTGGAGCTTTGGAAGAGGAACTATCATATAAAATACATCTCTATCACTTTTCATCATCCAACACCAAGGAAGCAACCAGTACCTTTGAATGTTGTCTAAATTTGAGGAAGGTGAACTAACTAAAATTAAATTGTGACACAATGGAGATTATGTTGGAATTGGATGTGGGGATTGTTTTGGAAGAGCAGGCAAGATTATATATTGAGAATGTTTCTTGATCCTCAACTATCACTGAATAGACAGGATGAGGCTGAGATACAGAATATCTTTGCGCAAGTTATGCTTAGCCCGTCATTTTCAACCCTTTCTAAATTTAGTTTTGTTGATAATAATCTATACTGTGATCATATCCCATCCTGACTACATATTCTATATGATCTATTCTTGGAAAGTGTAACCAAGACAAAATGCAGAAGGTAAGCTGCTAAATAAAAGCTGGTTTGATGTGGTTGGTAAGGCACCAGCCAGAGTAGATGGGTTCGAGTTCTGCCTTAGGCACAAAATGAGCTGAGTGACCTTGGACCAGTGACTTCCAACCCTAGGAAGAAGCAAGACACTTTGTTCGAGAAAACTTCAGGGACTCCTCTGTGCAGTTACAGGAGGCAGCCCAGTAATTTTACTGATTATTGACTTGAAGGCCTCCACTTTCTTCAGTTTGCTAATTGGTATAGGATACAAAGATCACATACTGACTAAAAGAAATCTGCATTGGTTGCCAGGCTGAGTTCAAAGTGAGGAAACTAATTATTAAAGCAGGGAAAAGAGTCCTCAGTGGGTGAGCTATAGAAGATTTCAGTTCTAATTACTTCATCTAAAAACTTTTAATAAGTTTTAATGTGATATAGTGTATTGATTGATTCTGGTTTTCTTTTCCTTTTCCTTTGTGTATTGCCCAGAATCACATGTCCTGAGTAAGATATTCATATAAATTTTCTTTCTTTCTTTCTTTCTTTCTTTCTTTCTTTCTTTCTTTCTTTCCTTCCTTCTTTCCTTCCTTCCTTCCTTTCTCTCTCTCTCCCTCCCTCCCTCCTTCCCTCCCTCCCTTCCTCTTTCTCTCTCTCTCTCTCTCTCTCTCTCTCTCTCTCTCTTATCTATCTATCTATCTATCTATCTATCTATCTATCTATCTATCTATCTATCATCTATTTATTTTATTATGACTCATTTGGTCATTCAGATGTGTAGGAAGGCTAGTTTTGATCTTTCTTAGCATATCTTCTCCTGCACTCTTGTTCAGCATTTAGCATTTCACTATGCTTTTAATAGTATACATTTTGTATTTTTAATCTTTAGTGTTCTGCCCCAGCTACAGACCCCAAAGATCACAGCACACACAAAGTCCGTACAAACCTTAGTTTACTAATTAAGGACTACTAATGATCTTTCTTAGTAGTTGTTCGAACACAAGTACGATTTAAATCAGTCTTTTCTGAACAAGGGCTGTTAATTTAACTTCATTAACAGCTGACAAGAATCCAAAAAATAATAACTCAATTCTGAGGCACAGTATTTCAGATAACCATAATCTTACTGTGGTTGGCAGAATGCCCAGAAGCAATTTGCAGGAAAAATGACAAGAGAGAAACAAGAACCGAATCAAACATTTCTGGAATCAAGACATGAAGGAATATGAACGAAGTTGTTTCCTGCAAATTTCATCAGTCGTCATCCTTCCTTAAATAGGCTAGGGGAATGGCCAATTAGCCCCAAGCCTTACTCTCGAGGAGACCTCCTCCTGAGGAGCCACTCCTGCCTTTTAACAGCTCTGCGCACTTGTGCATTGAGAAGAGGCTCCTCCTCTTCTTCCTCTTCACTTATGGGAGCTTCTGGAGATTCTGAAGGCCCTAGCTGAATCCCCGCCTCTGGCACCACATCTTCTCCAGCCTCCTCATTGTCTGACTCGAGCGCCAGCTGCACAGGCTGCTGGCGCAGCACCACACCAGCCTCCTTGCTGTTGGAATCAGCTACTAACTGCACAGGCCGCTGATGGGCCACAACATTTAGCATTGCGTTTTACATTTCCATTAACTGACTTGAGGCTGTTTCTCTGAACATAGTAAGGGGGGGTATAAATCAGAGCAATAATAAATTTCTGCCTCTGCTGAAAGACTAGAAATGAACATTGACTCATCAAAATGAGTAGCCAGACTTGGTTCCTTAATGTCCTAGTTCAGCCCTCTATCACTTGTTATACCTTCCCTCCAGGTTAAAAGAAAATTTCATTTTGGAAAAGAGACAGTAGAAGACAGTGCTTTGGAACCATCTCTTGAGGCTTAGCATGAGACTATTATTCTCATCGAAATTGATATATGCCAGTGTTGGCGAACCTTTTCGGCACTGAGTGCCAACATGGGGGCGCGTGCCAGAAACCGGAAGAGCAGCTGCCCGGTGCGCATGTGCTCGCCGGGAAGATGATCTTCTGGTTTCCAGAATGCTCATGCGCACCAGCCACTCAATCTTCTGGTTTCTGGCACGCATGTGCGCGTGAAGACCAGCTGGCCAGTGTGCATGTGCACGCCTGAAATTGGAAGATCATCTTCAGAGTGTGTGCATGCGCACTGGGCAGCTGCTCTTCTGGTTTCCAGCACTCCCACATGCGTGAAGACCAGGTGGCCGGTGTGCTGGAACCCGGAAGAGCAATGGACGCTGGCTCCTGTGCCCAGAAAGATGGCTCTTCATGCCACTTCTGGCACACTTGCCATAGGTTCGCCATCACGGATATATGCTATCCGGAAAAACTATTTTTGCAGGATCCAATTGAATTGATCACTGGGACCAGAGCAGTGGTGAAATCCTGCCGGTTCTGTCTGGCTCGTGCGAGCCGGTAGTGCCAGCAGCACGTGGTTTGGTGAACTGGTAGCGGCGGCAGTGGAAGGCTCCGCCCACTCACCTGGACATTGTTACTACCTTGTTTTAACCCTCTGCGCATGCACAGAAGGTAAAAAATCGAATGTGATGATGGTGTGACGATGGTGCGCGCACTTCCGAACCGGTAGGGAAGGTAAGTAGATTTCACCCCTGGACCAGATGTTTACTCTTCTGAGCTTTCAGACTTGTGCTGGAGCCCACCCCCAAGGAACTACTTTGTACTGCAATATGTACTTTCAGCTATTCTATGAGTCGTATTTATGTGGTGCCTTCCTATTGTTTAATTGGTGTTGATGGCTGTCAGTTGGCTGTTGATTCCTTGTGCTGTCAAGCCCTCAGCTCCTAAGTACCTTCATTTAACATTTTTATTGAGTCATAAAATAAAATAATAATATTATTATTATTTCTGGCTGAAATGCACCCAAAGTTAAAACAGATTCCATCAAACGACAAAGGTGCATGTCTGAATGTCCCAACGGTGGTTTTTTTCAGGAGGCAACTGGCCTTTCTTGTTTTTTCTTTGAAGACATTTCACTTCTCATCCAAGAAGCTTCTTAAGCTCTGATAGGATAGTGGGGAATGGAAGGATTTATATTCCTTGCAGACAGCTGGTCATTTGCATCCTTATGGAGGGTCGTTGAAGCACTTGGAGGTTTATCTGTGTCCTCAGGGTCACCTGAATTAGTGCTCCTGGTTCCTGTAGTCTGCAATTTTGGATGAGAATCTTCTTGGATGAGAAGCGAAATGTCTTCAAAGAAAAAACAAGGAAGGCCAGTTGCCTCCTGAAAAAGCACCATTAGGACAGCCAGAGGTGGTATTTAGCCGATTTATACCGGTTCGGCAAACCGTTAGCAGAGATTGCTGGTGGAACCACCCACCTGCTCCGGCTCTATGCCATGCTATTTAGGTACGTTTTCAAGGCCGGGCGCATGCGTGGAAGGCCAGGTTGCATGCACAGAAGGCACGCATGCACACATGCATGCAGTGAACTGGTGGGTAAGAATATTTGAAACCCACTGCTGGGGACAACCATGTCAACCTGGATGACTGAGAATCTCTACAGACTTTTTGCATGTCTGAATGTACACATTCAAGCACTGAGGCTAATTAACACTTGGTAAGAGAAAGATGCTGCTAGAGATTAATTATAAAACTTACTGTATACTTGCAACTGTCCTCGGAAGACATTCCTTCCCCGGGAGTTCTCAGCTTTGCATTCATATGTCCCTGCATCTTCCAGTTGCACGTTTGGGATTTCGAGCACTGCTTGGGATTTCCTCAGGCGGGCTTTGCTCGGATTGGGTCCATTAACTTTCCTCCACGAGATTGTTGGAACTGGGCTGAAATATTTAGCGAAGGCATGATTAGCTCTTCCTTGCCGTTAAGAATATAGATCCTGTTACCTGCTAATTTAAGCACTTAATCGTCTAAGCAGCAATAAAGCGTAATCACAATTAAGGCTCGTGAACTGCTTGATCTATTTTACTTTCAGCTGAGAATATTTAACTGGTGCTGCGGCTGTCCTGCACACTTCCCACTTTCCGAAAATTAAGACTTTTAAAAATTAAGTGATTAAATCATACAATTGGAAGGAAAATATTGTGTTGAAGAGAAAGCACGACTGGACAGAAGTAAAAACTGATGCAAAGCTTTCCACTGGATAACTAGATTGATTTCTCATTAGGGATTAAGGATTCTGGAAGATTCCAGACTGACTGAAATGTTGAGTTGGGTCAGTTGGCTTCAGAAGAGGAGCTATCTACTCCATATCACTAAACAGATGTTTTGTGAGCATTGGCTGGCTCTCTGAAAATTACTAAGAGGGGTCATTGGTGCTCTCTGAGCTTGCTTGTTTTCTTGCAGACGTTCATTATCCTAACTAGGTAACGTCATCAGTTTTAATAAAGAGTGCTGTTTCCTGTCAGTTTATATTCTGGGGCCTTGCCTCTCTTTCAGTAATCAGCATCCAGATCACCATAGATCAGGGGTCAACAACCCATGGCTCTGGAGCCGCATGTGGCTCTTTCATTCCTCTGCTGCAGCTCCCTGTTGCCGGTTGGCTCCGCAATTCAGTTAGGACAGGTAGAGGAAAAAAGGTGCTGCTCTAGGAGGAGACTCTATGGTGGGGGGGAACCAGATTTCCAGTCAGCTCCAGAATTGAACAGGGGCTTCCGGTTAGGACCTTTGTGGCTCTTTGAGTGTTTAAGATTGCCGACCCCTGCCATAGATTAACTCCAAGGTTAACTCCAGACCAACAATCAAGTAAGCAATACCCCAATCAGGAAACTGCCAAAGAGCCATCAGCAAACAACCCAACCAAAGAATCTGTAAGACTGCCCCCCACACCCACATAGACAGGCAAGTCACCAGAACATAAACTGATCCTGCCTTCCACGATCTCCAAAGTTTCTCCCCCCATCAAATCCTAGCTGCCTCCTGCCTTCCACGATCTCCAAAGTTTCTCCCCCCCACTGAATGCCTCCTGCCTTCCTGCCTTCCGTGCCTCCTCCGATCTTTGCAGTTTCTTCCCCCATCGTATCCTAGCTTTCTCCTGCTTTCCTGCCATGGAGAGGCATCTGCAGAGGGTGGAACCTGCAGAGATTGGGGAAGGCCCTGCCCCCTTGTATGCGCGGCAAAGACCCGAAGACCAGCTGGCCGATGGGAGGTGCACACATGTGCGGTGGAGCTGGGCTGGGGCGATGGCTGGTGTGCCTGCAGAAAGGGCTCTGCGTGCCACCTGTGACACACTTGCCATAGGTTCACCATCATGGGTATAGGTAGTCCTTGACTTACAACTACAATTGAGCCCAAAATTTCTGTTGCTAAGTGAAACATTTGTTAAGTGAAATTTACCCCATTGTATGAACTTTCTTTCCACAGTGGTTAAGTCAATCACTGCAATTGTTAAATTAGTAACATGGTTGTTAAGTGAATTTGGTTTTCCCATTGACTTTGTTGTAAGAAGGTTGTGATCACAGGACCTGTTATAGATATGATGATATGATATGATATGATTATAATATAATATAATAATATAATAATATAATATAATATAATATAATATAATATAATATAATATAGTATAGTATAGTATAGTATAGTATAGTATAGTATAGTATAGTATAGTATAGTATAGTATAGTATAGTATAGTATACTGTTATAGTCAAGCTATTCCCCAAAGCACCTGAGGGTAGGACAAGAAGCAATGGATGGAAACTATTCAAGGAGAGAAGCAACCTAGAAGTAAGGAGGAATTTCCTGACAGTGAGAACAATTAATCAGTAGAACAACTGGCCTCCAGAAGTTGTAAATGCTTCAACACTAGAAATTTTTACAAAGAGATTGGATAACCATTTGTCTGAAGTGGTGTAGGGTTTCCTGCCTAAGCAGAGGGTTGGACTAGAAGACCTCCAAGGTCCCTTCCAACTCTGTTATTCTATTCTATTTTCTATTTTTTAATAGCTATGAGTCATAAGCATCTGAATTTTGATCCTATGACCAAAGGGATGCTGCAATGGTTTGTTAAGCGTGAAAAATGGTCACGAGTCACTTTTTTTCAGTGATGTAACTTCGAAGAGTTACTCAATGAACTGTTGTAAGGTGAGGACTACCTATACATCTCTCCCCCTTCACCATTACAATCCAAGACTTTTCTGAGTTGTTTGCCGCAGTCACATTCCTTCTGCTGGGTCTGTTGCCTCTTATCTGACCATTTCCAACCTGTGGTTTTTCTCCTCTTGTCTCCCAAGGCCATTCCCAGAGGAATTACAGACAACAGAGGAAGAATCCTGATAAGAATCCTTTATGACTGATAAATCATAAAGATTATTATCAGATTATGGGCAGGTAGATGCATGCATTATTTTACTGATGTACAGTAGATCACTTGTGCTAATCAACTGGTCTTGAGCATACACTGCAGTGGAAAGTGGGATATATAATAAATTAATAAATCGACAAATTATCAGACAAAAACTGCAGGCTGGATGATATTAAGGTAAAGGTAAAGGTTCCCCTTGCACATATGTGCTAGTCTTTCCCGATTCTAGGGGGCAGTGCTCATCTCCATTTTAAAGCCGAAGAGCCAGCACTGTCCGAAGACGTCTCCGTGGTCCTGTGGCCGGCATGACTAAATGCCAAAGGCGCACAGAACACTGTTATCTTCCCACCAAAGATGGTCCCTATTTTTCTACTTGCATTTTTTACATGCTTTCAAGCTGTTAGGTTGGCAGAAGCTGGGACAACTAACGGGAGCTCATCCAGTTATGCGGCACTAGGGATTCGAACCGCTGAATTGCCGACCTTTCGATCGATAAGCTCAGCATCTTAGCCACTGAGCTACCACCTCCTTTGCCTGGATGTTATTAGGAAAGTCAATATTTCTTAGGCTATTCTGTATGAACAGGTTTTTTTTCTGAATAGGAAAGGAGGTTTTTTTTTGCCTTGTAATTTTCTTTCAAAAGCCATTTCTATTAGACTTCCTAGGCGGATGGCTGTCTGATTGTAATATAAATCACATTATCAAATAATTCAGCAGTACTGGTATGGGTTTCTCCTTCAAATAAATCTACATGACTGTTTTATATATTGCAAGAACATGTTACTTTATACTTAAAAAGACTTCTCATGGCAGTTTCTGGCAATTGCTTCAGAAATTCTTTATAGAATGGAAAAAAGATCAGATTCCTTTGAACCAGGAGGAAAACATTCTGCATTACTCTGAGACCCTACCCATACATTTCAATACTTTCAGAAAAAAATAGATACAGAAATCCAGTTCCTGGCACACTAAATTATGAAAGGATGAAGTAGAAAACTTTTGTTTGAATCACTAAAAAGCCACCGCCAGTTACAGAAGACAAAGCTATACAGACCCAAGGAATCTGATTATATGTCAGAACTGCCATCTTCAGCTCTGCTGGCATCCTGCCATAAATAGTAAGAGGAAGGGGGGGAGGAAAGGAAGTAGACAATTGGCGTGTAGAGGGTAGAGATGAGCAATTGGGGGGGTAGGGTGACAGGCCTGACGGAAGCCAGAGGTTGAAAAACTGGCCAACTCCAGCTTTCAAGGCCGCTGAGTCTGGGAAAGTAATGTGAATTGCAACAAGCCATACCAAACATCTGAGTGGTTCCCAAAACTCCTACATGGAACCCCATTGGATGAAGGCAAGGGCAAGGGAGGAGGGCCAAGGAGAAGGTGTAAATGCTGTAGCATTTTGCATGGGAACTTTAGTTCTAGCCTTGCAACCACTATTCCTTAGTAAAAGAACCTATCACTTCAAACAAATGGAATCGAGGGTCTTTCTTTCCTAGCGACCTAGCTGGGGCAAGCCTGACATTATATATAAGATTATTCCTAACTTTTGAAGGAAGGATCTTTTTAATGGAATTGATCAATTACAAAAGTCTCTAAGCAATTTAATGTCGCCAACTTTGAATAGAGTTAACTAAACTTTATTTTGTTTTAATTGCATGCCGCATCAACTTTACTGCTATTCATTATATCTGGAAAGATGCTGATTTTTTTTTTTTTTACATTGTCTGGGCCATCAGCAGGTCTCTTTCAAGATTTTATTTCTCCCCCTTTCTGATGAGGTAACAAGACAATAAGTCAAACTGATGAGTAAAAAGCCAATTTTTCAAGGAATGTAAAATACTTTGGCTGTAAAGTTTTAATGATTTCAAAGGAAATTGCTCCTAAATTGCAAAATGCAAGTCAAAAGTTTGATGGTTGGTTATTACCATCTCATTTAAGGTTTTCCCCTATAAGTGTGTCAGCATTATTCTCACTCTGGCATACATTGTTATTAGATGCATGAAATTTGGTTGTAAATGTCCACATTGGTTGGAAAATGAATTTTTATTATCATCGCATTTGTAAATAATCACTAACTGAGGTTGCCACTAAACCATCATTACTCTCACTCTGGCATGCTAACATGCAAAAATATTGGTTGTAAATGCACACATTGGTTGGGAAATTATTTTTTAATTACTGTCATATTGGTGAATAGTAGCTAAGTGGGGAAGTCACTAAAAAAGGAGTAAGTATACATATCCCAGTGCCTATTTTCTTCTGTTATTGGCCAACCTGCAACAGTGACCTTCCTAGATTATTGGCAAGTTTAGAGAATGGTTGTATGGATAATCTCATGGAGGACTGGGAATTAGCTACATTTAATTAAGTTATTATTTACTACATTTATTAATGCATCAGTTAACTTGATGCATATGAATATAAAATATAAATTAATAAATAAGTAATTCTTGATTGGGGGAGTATGCTGGTGGTTTCATTTTTAACTAATCCCTTTACTGTGAGAAGTAAAAGCAAACCAC